GGGCTTGACTCAAAACAAGCGGAATGCGAAAGACATGAGCTGAGCGCCTGCGCCGCTCCGTCAATCCCCTACGTATCCACAACACACGCGCCCCGCCACACAGCTCGTGGCATAAAGAAAACACGTCAGGAACAGGCTAATGTTCCTTCAAGTGCCATCGCAAGCTGACCATCAAGGCGTCCATGGAGACAAGTCTGCGATTGTCTTCGCTCATATTCTTGCCACCGAAAACATGTTCTGTCGCGCACTGCACATCTGCCCCCTGCTGCAATGGATAGAGGCATAGCTTTTTTCATTCTCAAGGTCATCCAGATAATGGTCCTGGTAACGGAGGTTAGTAGGTCAAGGCACGCCATTCGTCATCGTAGCTGTCAAGAGCTACACGCACACCGATTTGAACCTCATTGTGGGAGGGTTTTGGGATTAGTCGGGGTTCTGGAGGGGGGGACGCGGGTATGTTCGGTTTAGGACCCCCCTAGTGGTACTGTAAGAGTGAGACTCCTTGTCATAAGGAAGAGTCCCCACAAGAAAGGACCCCAGTTTTGCAAAACCTACCGCGTCGAAACTCCAAAGCCATGCTCCAAGCCTCCGTACCGGTTCAGCGGTTTCGGGTTTCGGGTTTCGGGTTTAGGGTTTAGGGTTTAGGGTGTGAAGGAGCGGAGAGGAGCGGTAACTGCGTGGCACATTTTTTGGCACGTATTCGTGGTGTCACTTTTTCGCTATACAGTCTTGGCTAGGTGGAATTTCACACCCGTCTTATCTCCGAGTCACATCGACTCCTTTGTCAAGAAAAGGTTGTTTAAATACTTCTCGCGTATTCCTGGTGTGCTCTCTCTCTCACAGTCGCGAGATCGATATCGGAGTGATAGGAATGTCCGTAGCCAATCTCCCATTTCTTGAGATACTGTTGTCGCCCGTAGTCATTGTACCGTGGAAAGAAGAAAGAAATCCCTGTACAGAAACATGTGAGAAAAGTTTCACGAATGTTGTAACCAATGCTGGGGCTCGCAACCAGTTCAAAGAATAGTACCTCACCATTTCGGTGGATGCTCGTCGTCTTCCTCCGACTAGGTCGGGTCTTGCAATTTTGCTGTAGTGTCGTCAAGGACCTGGTTCAACAGTCGTGGCTTCATTGACTTGGTGAGTGCGTCTGCGACCTGTAGATGTGTTGCCATCCACGAGAGTGTTGTTCCATACGGGGCATATGCAACTGACGTCAACTCTTCATCCTCTGTCCACAACAAGACCTGTCGCATGGCAGTAGGCTCTATGGCCAATCTCTTGTCCTCGGCCTGTTTCGGTACGGGGCCGAGGAGGTGGTCAGCGAGAAGCAAATAAGAGATTATCAACGTGAGTGCACAACATCGCACATACCTTTCCTGCACCGTCCAGGGCATAGTACAGGGCTGGAATGATCTTTGATTGTACGAAACCTGATGTCTCCGCTGCGTCCAAACGTTGACGTTTTTTCGCATGAACCAAAGCGCCTGCAAAGTAACGAGTTTCAACTGCGCATGTAAAATACCGTTTTGGTAAAATACATCTTGACACATTGGGCTCATGTACATGTAGGCAAAGGTTTAGCGCCCCGCCTCGAGAATGTCCATGCTGGACATTCCTCGCACTCAAACTTTGCCCGTGCTGTACAGCTTGAGCTACCTACCATGTTAGTAGCATACTCAACTCGGCTCAAAAGTTTCAAGTAACAGCATGCTCCACATGCTAGTGCGATGCACTTCAAGCGCACTCAAACTCGCTCCAATTTCGCCTGTAGCAAAATGCCACTCATACCATTTACAGTCATCCCGGGCAATCATCCTGCGGGTGCTGCGTAAACACATTGATCACATTTCGCGCATGCCTTGGACTGAGTCAAGCATTCAGTCCGCAACAGGCTTTCATGTCTCGTTTGCCATTCATGGCATTTGCTTCTGAATCCTTCCAAAATGGATCTGCGAAAGCAACCTGCGCCCATCAAAGAACGGGTCCATCGCGATGGAAGGTTGTCTTCATCCACTTGATGCACCACGTTCACGCTCGCTCGAGCAGTGCGGCTTTGTTCTCACGGTACTCGTCAGGCTTGCACTGCTTGCATGGATTTCTTCCACGACCAATAGCTGTCATCTGGCTCACCTCTGACACCTCAGCGCTTCCATAAAGCTTTCCACATCCAAGCAAATGGCACGCTTTCCCATGCTGCACAACATACCAAACCGGATTCTCTGGTTCCGGACCTTCTTCGTGTCGTCGTCGTTGCCTCATGACGACCTCGCCAGTGACTGAGCTTTCACTTGCGCAGAAAAGCTCGGCGACGTTGGCTCGCTCTGAGTCGTCACTGTGTTGTTCACAATCACCGCGGGCTGCGCTTTGCAGCAAGCTACGATGACCACCATCATGAATGCAACCAGCATAACCATCACAAGCGACAGCTTTGGAAACTGCTCCACTGCAACCACGTAGGTGACTGAAGCAAGCTCCAGCAATGCCTCGCTGTCGAATCAGCCTAGCAATTCTCTGTGTCCTCGCTGCCGAAGGCGCTTGAAAGACTTGCGGAAGCATGGTCTTTCTAAGAACGTCCAGAACATCCTTGATGGTGACCGGGGCGCTAGGCAGCTGAAAAACCCGGGCGTGTGATCATGGGGCTGCTCTCCACGTTTGGAGCGTAAGGTACTTTACACCGCTCAGAGCAAGGAATCGGCACGTACCTTCGTTCAAACTGTGGATCGGCACGCCAGGAACAGCCAATATGCACTACGGCAAATGGTGACCGCGAAAAATGAGAAGGATCGGCGCAAGCTAAGTCATCATGCACATGGTCACCAACATCCTGTTGTACTGCTTTGTCATTCCTATCTTGCTTAGATGGCTCTGACTGCTTGCTTTTGCTTTTGCATGGCCCCGTGCTCGGCCAACGTACTGGTGCCCACAAACGCATTACCGTCTGGATCCAACATCTTGGGGATGCACATAAGCAGTTTGTTCTTTGCTTGCTAAGGTCCTTTGTACCCACATCTGCAGGATTGGACTGCAAGTCGTCAAGACCTTGCTCAGGGCCACCCTCACCTGACTTGCCTTGATGAGGCCCTGAGTCCACAGGATCCGACAACTCGTGCGCCGCACCTTTCCGAACCCGGACCTTTCCAAAATGGCCTTTGCGGTCCATGAAAAATCCTTTGGCTGCCACACTGCGAAAGTTCAGGAGTTCACAAACGCATTGGCAATCGCACAAGCTGCTTGAGGCCGATAGGGTTTGATGTCTTTTTGGAAGCGGATGCCCCTTTACCACATCAGCAGCACAGTGGGCCGGTCTATTGCGGCTAGGTGAGACAAGCAGAGACTACAACACAACCACAACGCCACACAGAAAACGCAAACAAAACCAAAAAAACGGCAAACAAGTGTGAAACGCTGCCCAGAACACGACGACGTCGATGTAGGTGCCGCCCAGAAGAGCTCTATGTCGTGGTGGCCACCGTAGCTGCGAGTGACCTCTAGAAAGTTGGCTGGCTTTTCACTGGGGTCAAAGCGCCGATTGTGCCGTGTTTGATAGGCCTCAAACTGCACTCGCACAAGCGCGGTTATTCTAGGTCTTTGAGCCCTGGCCGTCTCCACATTCTGATTCTGTGCATCATGTACCCACTGGCGAAGGCTGCTGTCCACGAGCACAGTTGCCGCTAACTGGCCATGTTTATTTCGCAGCAGTACTGTATCGGGACAGGTGGGTCGCTCATCGGCCCTGCCGGCCAAGAAAGCCACGGCGGCAGCAGGCGGTACATTAATTTGGATATCTGTCATCCTCCCCTGCCTGGCCCCCGATCATCCTGGGCTTGCATTATCTGCCGAAAAAGCTCGACAGAGTTTCCCTGAGGGCTGCCTGGCTGGACGGTAGCGCCAGGCTGCTGGTGGTTCCCGGCTGCTTGACACTGCTGCGGCTGCAAGGCTCTCCTGGGTCTCACTCCAGGCCGTGGGGATTCTGCCAAGCCACCACTGGTAGAACGGGCTCTGGCGACTGTCACAGCTCCTCCCACGTGGAGACCTGTCTCGTTGGTCGTCCATGGCTGTGCTTGGGTGCCTAAGTGCTCCGCTACCACGTAGAAAGTTATAGCAGCTAATGTAAAACTAGACAACCCAGCTAGCGGTCTGCACAGCCTTTTCCACGCGCACAAAGCACAAAGTGTTCCGTGTGTCTTCGAGCTCAGCTTATGAGGTGTCGCTTCAACCTCGCCCTTTCTTTGCTTTACACGGTGACTTGAGCCACCAGTCAAACGTTCAAACGCAGCATCCTCTGACGCCGTAGAAAACAAAACTTGCCCCAAAACATGTCATGCTGCTTCACCGGACATGCAAAAGCCTAAGTTCACGCAACAGGCGCAACTCCTAATGTCACTCAAGCAACTACCACGCATGTACAAGCCAACGCCACGCAACTCTCAGTTCATCTCCAAGACGTCATGCTTGGTAGTTCGCTTGTGATGCCATCTCGCAGAAAACTTCTTGCCCATCTCCAGAAAACTTCAGTGCATTGCGAAAACTGCTGTCATATTCGAAAATGGCCAGCAACTAACCAAGTAACATGATGCATCTTTGCACCACGAAAACTTCCAGGGATTGCAGAAAACTTCCCAGCGCCACGAAACTTCCCAGAAGATTCCAAATCCTCTGGGATGGTCCAGAAACTTCTCAGAAGACTCCAAACCTTCTGAGACTGTTCGAGAACGCCTTGCCACCACAAGCTTGCATACAACGGCAGGAAAATGATGATATTCGTATCGCTCCACTTCCAACCATGTTGTCTCAAGAGAGCATCTCAAACCCACAACTTTTCTTCGTGACTTTCGAACAACATGCAGTTTGGCGATGGGAGGTATTACACCCCCTTTCGATGGGAATATCATCTCAAGCCAGTTTGTCAACATCGCTCCCTGCTCAAGTGACATCTGCAACCACAATAAGCAACCATTGTTTGC